GTGCGTGGGTTACAGGTTGGCATGGGGGCTGGGTGGGTGTATGGGGTTGGGGGGACTGAAACCTCCCCCACATGCAAATACCCCCCAGTATACCCGCTGACCTCCCCATGTGCACATACGTCTGTGCGCTCACATGGGCGCCGTCCTGCCACCCCTGCTGGTACGTACATAGCCAGGCCCAGACGGAGCCAGCTCCCAGCAGCACCCTGCTTCTGCCCGGCACCCTCTCAGCCCGGCACCTCCTCCCCACGCGTCAGCCCTGCCGTCTGACCCATGTGCTCCTGTTTCCCCAGGTCCCGGACGTGAGCAGCCAGCTGGAACTGCTGAATAATCTGACCAATGCCAACCTGAGCACTGCCCTGCAGCAGGTACAGGCTGGGGGGTGGCGCGGGGCTAGCGGGACGTGGCTCTGCCCGGCACCCTGTGGGGCTGGTCTGTAGGGGCATTGCCAGCTCTCCCTGCCCCAGGGTGTGGCTTGGCAGGGGTGAGCGACCCAGCCATGCCTGCCTCAGCCTGCGTCTCCAAGCCATGGCTCTGGGGCGGGGCAAGGGACCCAAACCACTGGCGCCATGCGGGAAATGCCCACCGTGCTAGCCGGGCGTCTGCCCCCACCCGACCTGGAGCAGGCCAACGGTCCATCCAGCCCAGTGCCCTGCCAGTGCTACCTGGGGCAGGCTGAGAGTGCCTCCGTCATGGTACCCCGCCCCGTATGGGGAGAGCCCAGCGGCCCGTCCGGGCCAGCGCTGAGCCCATGGCATTGGCCAGTGCTGGGTATTTCTGACTGTCCCCTGAGCCGGGGCATGTGGGGCTGGGGAGTGGGGCTGGAGCAGGGCCGGGGTGGTGCGTTTGCCCTCGCCCAGTGCTCTGCGTTGGGGCCCGGGGCTGGGATCTGAGCCTGTCTGTCTGTCTCTCCCCTGTCCGTGTCTGGGGCTGCAGGCCAACGAGACGCTGAACAAGACCCCCACGAAGGTAGAGGAGCAGGCGCAGAAGGTGGTGGCGGGTAAGTGGCGCTGCCGTCTGGTAATACAGGGGTGCCCGCGAGGGACGGGAAGGGGTCACCTGGGGCACCTCCTCCCCCTCCCTCTGGGGAGACCTCTCCTGCCCCAGCCACCGCGGCTCCCTGCTCTGGGACTAGGCACTGTAATGACCGAGGCCCTGCCTGTCCCTCCCCGGAGCCAGGGGTCCAGGCCCCACCTTGGCCTATGAAGTGGGTCTGTGCTCTCCCCTCTGCCCCCCGCCATGTTCTCCCTTCCTGTCCAATCAGCACAGCTCTCCCGTTCTCAGGCTCTCTCCTCCCCCTTTGTCCCCCCGCACCTGCTGCCCCCTCAGATCTGTCCACCGCGGGCTGCGTCTGCCCCGTGCGTTGTGCAGGGCGAGCTGGAGCGTGGGCCCCGGGAGGCTACGGGAGCAGCCGTCAGTGCCTGTGCATCCCTGACGTGCCCGTCCCTGTCCCCCACAGACGCACGGAGCCAGCTGGCTGAGGTCAGGCGGAAGATTGGTGGGGTGCGGAGTGAGATCCCGGTGCTGGACACGCTGGGGAACGTCACGGCCGCACTGGACACCATTGGCGGGCAGGCCAAGGACTACGAGCCGCAGGTCACCACCTACGACGGCTACAGGTAGGGGCTGGGCCGCTCCCCCCGCGTGGGGGCTGATCCCGCCTGGGGCTCCCTGTGTGACGGGTTGGATCACAGAAACCCCCTTGGGAACTGCCAACTGATGGGCCAAGACTACTTCTGCCCCTGCTTTCCCTGCCAGCCTGGGACCCCAGCACCCCGTCTTGCTGAGCCAGACACGCCCGTCTGCTCCGACACAGACCCAGGGTCTGAATTACTTGCCCCAAAGCTGCCGACTTAACTGAAAGCCCCGGAGCACCGAGGGCTGGGGCGCCCTGGGGACGAGGGGGGGGGGGTCTGTTCTAAGGAGAGACCCCCCCTCAGTCTGGCAGCAGGTTCCCCCTGCTGCAGGGGGTGACCCCCCCGCCAGCCCCCAGACTCCTGCCCCACCAGGGACCGGGTCTCTGACGTCTCCCCCGCAGGTGGATCGTGGGCGTCTGTCTCTGCTGCCTGGTGCTGCTGATCGTCCTGTGCTACCTGCTGGCCCTGGTGCTGGGGGCTCTCGGGCTGAAGCCGTCGGTGCTGCCCACCGAGCGCGGCTGCCTCTCCAACTCCGGCGGGGACTTCTTCATGGCGTAAGAGCCCCCCGCGGCCCCCGGCGCCGTTACAGCGGCTCCCACGCTGCCCCGGGGCGCCCCACGCGGGGCTGTGATGTCGGATAGCGGCAGGACCCCCGGCACGGCACTGGGGAGACC